ACCAAGTGTGTGTGTATAGGAGGAAGAGGAGTAGATGTGAGGAAGCACACCAAGTGTGTGTGTATAGGAGGAAGAGGAGTAGATGTGAGGAAGCATACCAAGTGTGTGTAGGAGGAAGAGGAGTAGATGTGAGGAAGCATACCAAGTGTGTGTAGGAGGAAGAGGAGTAGATGTGAGGAAGCACACCAAGTGTGTGTAGGAGGAAGAGGAGTAGTGGCACAAAGATGGCAAGTGCATGTACATGGACCTGGAGGCAATAAAGGGCGTGTGGCTGGAGAATGAATGGCTGGATTGTTACTTATTGTCTTAGTCACCTTCATTAGAAAATCACATTGCAAGTAATGTGTTAAGCATAGGTCCGTTTAAAACGTCTTCTTCTTTTTACTGGGATGCAGTCCACTAGAAACTCTTGTAGCACCCCACTGTTACTTGCTGCTCCGGTCCTGCCAATGGCACTACCAGTCTGTCTGTCTGCCATTTAGTATCCAGGCACAGTTTTGAAACCTAATTTTTTGGGGCAGGGGGTGGAGGTGGGGGGTTTCGAGACAGGGTTTTTCTTTGTAATAGCCCTGGCTGTCTTGGAACTTACTCTGTAGACCAGGCTGGCCTCTGCCTCCCAAGTTCTGAGGTTAAAGGCATGTACCACCACCTCTGTGCTTTGAAACCTAATTTTTGTTTTACTTATTTTTGTTTTTGAGGCAGGGTGGTCTTGCTATGCAGCCCAGGCAGACCTTGAATTTGTTGATCTATCTCAGCCTCCTGAGTGGTAGGATTACAGGCTGAAACTTGTTTTGACTATAGAACCCATTTTACCCCCTTTTTCTTATTCCCTTGTGGGTTCGCTTTCGGTTTTACTACTGTACATGCAGATCCGCCTTCTTTCAATCCCTGTATACTGTCTCTGGCAAGGTGTGACTTTAACATCTTTCTGTGAAACAAAAATAGTGATGCACACCTTTAATCCCAGCACTTGGGAGGCAAAGGCAGGCGGATCTCTGTGAGTCTGAGGCCAGCAGCCGGGTGTACATAGTTCTAGGACATGCATAGCTACAATGAGACCCTATTTTGAAAAAACACTACTTTAATCCCAGCACTTGGAAGGCAGAGGCAGGTGGATCATGAGTTCAAGGACAGCCAGAGCTGTTATACAGAGAAACCTTGTCTCAAAAACAAAATAAAACAAAAAGAAAAACAAAATACCAAAAGACATCTTTCCATGAGATGCCTCATGGCTATATGCAAGGGGAGAAATCTAATCTCGGAATTTCTGCTAGGTTTCCTGCCTTGTGTTTAGAGAATCTGTTTAGTTCCCCTCAAAGAATAAATTTGTTGATTTTGCTAGTGTTGGTATAGATGGGAATGAGAGACTCTTGGCTCTGGCTGATGAGCATACTTAACACTGATACTTTTCCAATCATCGGATATTTGAAGGTCCAGAGGGAGCCAACCTGTTCATCTATCACCTGCCCCAGGAGTTTGGAGACCAGGACCTGCTGCAGATGTTTATGCCCTTTGGGAATGTCGTGTCTGCCAAGGTTTTCATAGACAAGCAGACCAACCTGAGCAAGTGTTTTGGTATGTTGGCTTCTCTTTTGGTGTCAGAATGGGATGAAATATTTTGCCACTGAGAAAGAAAGAAGCTGCTGACAAAATCAGAGAAAGCTTTTTTTTTTTTTTTTTTTTTTAAGATTTTTGCTGGCCGTTGGTGGCGTGCGCCTTTAATCCCAGCACTTGGGAGGCACAGGCAGTCAGATCTCTGTGAGGCCAGCCTGGGCTACAGAGCGAGATCCAGGAAAGGTGCAAAGCTACACAGAGAAACCCTGTCTCGAAAAAAAACAAAAACAAAAAATAAGATTATTTATTTATTTAATTTTTTGGTTTTTTGAGACAGGGTTTCTCTGTGTAGCTTTGTGCCTTCCCTAGAACTCATTCTATAGCCCAGGCTGTCCTTGAACTCACAGAGATACGCCTGCTTTTGCCTCCCAAGTGCTGGGATTAAAGGAGTGCACCACCACCGCCCGGCTGATTATTTATTTTTTATGTATAAAACATTCTGCCTGTATGCATATATGCCTGCACCAGTAGAGGGCACCAGATCTCATTACAGACGGCTGTGAGCCACCACGTGGTTGCTGGGACTTGAACTCAGGACCTTTGGAACAGCAGGCAGTGCTCTTAACCTCTGTGCCATCTCTCCAGCCCCCAAAAGCTGCTTCGGGGTTTGACCTGGGCCGATCATATGACCTCTTTGAGCGTCACTTTTCTCTGAGTCAGAGGGGGTGATTTCTGCTCACAGCGCTGGTCCAGAGGTGGTACCACTGGGAACCTACTTGTTTTCATGTTGATATTTTTCCAGAATTGTCATCCCTGCTGAGAACATTTGAGATTTGAGACTAACATACAAGATAATGTCTTGCATAAGGACGACTTAGTCTCTCACCTAGGTTTCTGCTTGGACACACAGGTTTTGTAAGTTACGACAATCCTGTCTCAGCTCAAGCTGCCATCCAGTCCATGAACGGCTTTCAGATTGGAATGAAGAGGCTTAAAGTGCAGCTCAAACGTTCCAAGAATGACAGTAAGCCCTACTGAGCGTGCTCCCCTCTCAGACTGGAGTGAGAAGATCTTCTGGTAAGTGGGGGAGGAGCACCCTTAATCATTCGAAGCCCTAAGGCTGTGTGTTGACAGCCCTGGACCCTGATCCCTGCCACTCTCGCAGGCACAGCTTGCCCTGAAGACTCAGCTACTGCCTTCTGTGGGAGTGTCGCTTCGTACAGAGGACAAGTTTGTGCTTTGGTTTCCAGTGTTTTACTTTGGAGTTTAGGTGCCATATCCTGAGGGGTTTTTTGTTTTGTTTTGTTTTTGTTTCTTTTCCCTTTATTTAAAGTTTGCTGTGTTTGTAACCAGTATGTTGAGAAGGACCAACACCAACCAGTCCACCCTGAGGAAGGGGGAAATGGTTTAAAAGATGATCAGAATGTGCCCCAAACCACCGGAAGAGAGAGTACTGAGCAGAACAGAAAGTTGATTTCCCACAAATCTCTTTCCCTGTGTGCGAGGGTGGGCAAGATCTAATGAGCTACAGGGGCAGAGTGGGTGAGGTAGCTTGGCATCTACCCCTTCATAAACTAGCTGCTCTCCGTGAAAATGCTAAGAGTGGGTGAGGTAGCTTGGCATCTAGACCCCTTCATAAACTAGCTGCTCTCCGTGAAAATGATAAGCTTCTGCCACCCATTTTCCTGATTTTTGTCCTGGATTTTTGACCTTCTTTCCTAAAAGGGGGTCAGCAAGTCTCAGTAAATAAAGCACTTCTTCATTTAGCCTGAAATATGCAAAGAACAGGGAGATACCCGTTACTGGCCATCCCAGCTCACCATTGGTATTGTAGTGCCCTGCCTGGCTGGTGGGTCTTTGGGCGAAGCAGCCAAAGAGGTCATTTTTTGTTTAAGTGTGAAGTTAGAACCATGGCTCATTCCAACAGTTTATTTTGAAGAAAGTCTATGGAAGTTCACCAGAGCAAAGAATATTGCCTCCTTCCCCACCACAATTTCCTCTTGAGGGCGAATCTAAGAAGCTCTTGCAGCATCTAGCCAGCAAGGGTGCTGTTCACAGGCAGAGCAATCAGAAGCCAGGAGGAGGGCCCTGCTTCTTGATGGACCTGAGTCAAGGTCTCTTGAGGCCAGGATGCTGTATTTGAGCAGAGCCTACTATTCAGGAGGGTGCAGAAGTGCACACTGGCCTCTTGGATGAAGGTGTCCCAGAGGTTGAGTTCCCACAGGGGTCTGACAAGCCTCCCCTAGAGACAGAAGAAAGTACAGGACGTTTACAGGCTCCATGTGGGTTTAGTGTTCATTTACCTCAGTATTAGCCCATGTTCATTTTGTCATCATGCTTACAGTTAGCTTTCTGCTGCCCTTCACCAATCTTAACTCCAGTGTTTGCCAGTGTCCCACACAGCCTCTGGGCTCTACTTCTGCTCCAAGAAATACTTTTGGGAATGTGCATCTGAGCAGAGGTAGCCCCGTAAGCTTAAGACTCTCAGCCACAGCCAGGGCTTGGGTTCCTGGGTCCTTGGAAGCTTAAACCTCACAAGTTGAAAGTCTTGACTCCTAGCAACAGAGATTAAAAGAAAGGGGCTAGCCTGTTTTTAAGTCAGATGGGGACACTTCTGTTTATCATGCTGTCCCTGGATGTATAGACAGGGATTGACCATCCTGCTGTTGTACAGGTAGTCGTTAGTGTTGGATTATCCCATTGAAACTGGGACAGCTGTTCTCTTCTCATAGTGATAAGTTGGGTCTATTGTCCTCTTAAGAAACATGAAATAATACACTTCTTAAACTGAACCACGTAAACTTGAATTCTGCGAAATGGGAGAAGAGTGTCCTGTGTTTCAAGATAAAACTGTTCTAAAGGCTTCCAGGGTAATGATGGGATTTTTTTTTAAATAAATGCAAAAATAAAAAATAAAAATAAAAAAACTTTTAAAAAAAGAAAGAAAATGCTAGGTTGGGCAGGCACTGTTCTGAATCCCAACCAGCTGGAACAAGAATGTCGTTTCTATTTTTATAGAAGTTTTATACAGCTCCGGGGTGGAGAATATTTATTACCTAAATTATATCTCTGGAAAAGGCCAGGATTTTGTAGAATCCAGAATGTGATTGTTGTACACACGGGGTGCTGTGTATGATTGAAACTACTGACTTTCTGTGACTGTTGCAGCCCAGGTAACCTGTCCAAGGGGAGGCTAACATTAATGCTGTGAATCGGCAGAGGCGAGAGCTGTGCTCCACAGGGTCTGCCAGCGCTGTGCTCCCTAACCAGAAATTCTATTCTGTCTTCCCTACTTTCTCTCTCCCATTTTACCCTTTGTCCACAGATTTGTGCTGGGCTCTAGGACCTTATGAAACTACCTTCCTATGATATTAGAGGCAAAGGTGTGACCCCAAACTTCATACCTCCTCTAAAAGGAGCAGTTGCCCCAGCAGGCTCATGGTGTGCTCAGGCAGCCAGCCAGCTGGGGAGACCATGCACTTCTCTTCTCCCCCTTCGCCCAGTTCCTAAGCACAGCAGGAGCACTGTCCTTGAGCACAGTTCTCTCCCCAGGCCAAAGATGGTTTTGTTGAAGAAGCTGCTCCCTATAAGTCTTGATGTGGAAGGGCTCAGCTCGGAGTGGAGACTGGAGTGAAGTCTTAAGCGGTCCATTTCTGTTGTGTAGAGGGAGCTTTCACTTCCAGTGTTTTCTGCTGTAGTTTTGTTTCTTGGATTCTATCATGCCATTGATTTGCCTTCACTGCAGCCCGACCGCTATGTCCTGGGTTCCACACGAGTGGCCAGGGCCTATGTGGAAGCTTAGGGCTTGGATTTCTGGGATCAAAGGGCCATCCAAGACTGAGCAAGAAACTGGCCTTCTACCCTAAATAATCTCCCTTCTGCTCTAGTCAGCATCTTTTGTTTCCTCTCCCTTTGGGTCTTGCCAGGTAGTGGGAAAGAGGCTGAGCCCTGCTTACCCCAGAGACTGTCTTGATGTGTTAGGTGCTTTGCAGGAAATCCAAGCCTTAGGTTCCCTTCTGTCTCTGGCAGTTGGATGTTCTCTTGGTGTCCTCCATGTCCTTTTGAACTTTTCCCTGTGTCCATTGTTAGCATGTGCAAAAGTCCCTGTCATCCCCCCCACCCTTCCCCGCCTCCTCATTTCAGGGCTGCACACAGTGAGTCCCACTCTCCCTCTCTGTTTGGATGTACTGCTCTGTGTAACTCAGTGGGTCTCCCTCTTTCTGGTTTGTTTTTCTAGATTCCTGCCGTTTGTTCATCGTTGTGCCTAAAGCATGTCGATGTGGCGTCAAGTACATCGTCCAAACCCTGTCTCTTCAGCTTCTCTGATGCTTGAACTCTCACCTTTGACCTTGTGTTGACCTTTGATGCTGATGTGTATTTTATTATGTTTGTTTCTTTCCTTGTTTTTTCTTTTTTCTTTCTTTTTTTTTTCCCTTTTGTGCTGCCAAAATTGGTTTTGCTAGAACGACTGCTGAAGGGAAAAATATTTAAACTTGCATTTGAATATAAAAAAAAAAATCTATTTTTCTAGAACTTCATAAGATAACCACTTGATTTTGTGATTCCGATTCTTTGTAACTGTCTCAGAGCAGCCCTACTAGCACATGCCGCGTGGTGTTTGTCCCTGTGAACACACAGCCAGTCCGCTTCCAGGCTTCGTCCCCTGTGTGCTTAGTTTAAAGACAACTTTGAAATAAACAATGAAATAAACGATGTCACTAAAATCTTTGAGGCTCCTGAACACATTTTGCTGACATAGTTTTGGGGCTTGAGGAGACCGCATGTGTTATTATTAATTTTTGTTTTTCTGAGTTCTCAACTGCAGAAAACACCTGAAACACAACACCCCCACTCGTTGGCTTTTCACTGAGGCTGAGGTTTGGTCCCCAGCTAGCTTTTTGTTTTCCTTTTGTGGTTCTTCCTGAAGCAGCCCTGCAGGGAAACCCTAGGGCCCCTTTTCCCTCCCCTCAGCTCAGCCAGCTCACATCCATGCTTATTCCTACAGTCTCCACAGCAAAATGTGATGCTTTGACATTTTTTGGGGTTTTGTATTGTTTTTGCCTTTTTGTTTTGAATTTTCCCTTTCCTACTAAGATTATGCCCAGAAAAGACAAGTTGTGCATGTTTCCTGCTGTTTCTTCACACCTTCGTATGTATCACCTTCACCTCTCTGTTTTCTATAGTTTGTGCAAAAACTGACTGATTTAAAGGGGTTTCAAAGAAGATGTTTTAAATTGTTACGGGGTTGATATTTTTTTCTCAAGATTGTATTGTTTTATTTGAAGTGGCAACTTTCTCCTCTATTGCCCTTAGAGTGTTTGCCTGTGCACTTAGACTGTCACTCTTTATGGCCTCCAGGTCTCGGTGGGGCATCCAGGAGGCTGGCTGCTCTGCTCAGGGAGTCCAGGGGGGCTGGAGAGGCGAAAGTAGAACCAAAGGTGGCTGTGGGTAGGCAGGAGGCCTAGCACAGAAGGCTCAATCACAGAGGAGGGGGTGCTGTGCTCCTAACTACCCGCAGGAAGCCGTCTGCACACTGAGTGGCAATACACCTGCCTGCTCTTTCCCTAGGTGACAAGCACAATAAATACTACAGTCTTCACACTGTTTACAGCCCTGGGCACCAACCACCCCACACTGGCTCTTCACTATGGCTCTGCTCTTACTCAGCTAGTAGACTTGGGGTAAGGGCAAGAATTTGTTATTAATTTGGGTGAAGAGCCAAATAGCTACTGTCTGCGGGTGCCAGGCCAGCCAGTTCTTTGGTTTCCTAAGGGAAACTTACCCTCTTCTCTTGTAGCACCATCCAGCCTCAGGGTCTTGGGGACTTGGAAGAATGTGAGGAGGAGAGGGGCTAGAGGAAATGAGTAGACAGGGATGGGTCTGTGAAGAGCAGAGGCTGCAGGGAGGTTTTTGACAGATCCCACTGAGACATGAGCACTGCTGGGAGGGAGAGGGGAAGCAAGATTGTCCAGGGAAGGGTGGCAAGGTGCAGCAAGGGATGGGGGTGGGCTATTGAAGCACTGACTAGCATCATCGACGCCCAGGTGATGAACGGATGCCAGCAGAATGTCTGCTCTGGGACCCCCACAGGTTGCCCAATATATTATGCTTAAGGCCACCTTACTAGGAAGAAAAGGCAGCCAAGTGGAGGACGCCTATAGATAGGCTGCTGGATGTCCTGGAAGGGGTGATGTGGGATGGGATGGAGCCAGAGCCCTAGCCTGAGCCTGCTGTGTGCCCCACAGTCTGATTGCACAGAGCCGCCTCTGTCGGCAGGAGGCGCTGAGGCTCCCCTCTGTGTATTGAGAAGCTGTGTTTGCCAATATATTTTGCTTTCAGTTCCAAGAGGAGCTCTGGGAAAACCTGTGGATAAAACCAAATGCCAAATGTTGGACATTGTTTCCTTTTCCTTTTCTCTCTGATTGTTTTAATTGTTCTGTAGTGGTTTTAATGGATTTGAGACCCTGGAGCGGCAGCTGCCTTTCTGATTTCCAGCTGCTTTTTGTGAATAATTTAAAAAGAAAAAAAAAAGAAACTTTACATTTTGGAGACAAACCTGTGTGAGTTTTTTATTGGTACAAACGTTGTATTTAACACTAGGGGTTTTGTACAGTTTTTTGCCTTTTCTACTAGAAAACAATGTAAAGTGATTTCACAATGTGAAGAGAAAAAATTGCCACTATGACCAAACGCACAGTCTGTTCTGCAGCAACAACGGGATTCAATCAACTCAAAGTCGTGATTCAGCCGTAGAAATGCTTTTCCTTGACCTTGTTTGAGCTTTCCTTTTTTCCTGTTTGATTTACAAAAGATGTCTTTTTTTGTGTGTGTGAACTTGTGTTGTACTCTGTAGAAAATTATGGATTTTGCTTTAATGGTTTAAAAAAAAAAAAGGGCAAGAAGAGCCCTTGTCGCTTTTCTTACCTAATCACAGTTTGTGTAGTGGATTAAAAAAGAAAAAAAAGTTGTTAAAAGTTTGGAGCAAGGGAGTATGTGTTTAAAAGGACTCTCCTTCCTTTTTTTGTGTGTTTTTCCTTTCGTCCCAATGGGGAACCTAAATCTGTTTTAATTGCACAGACACACGGACAAAAAGTCATTTTGTATCTGCCAAGTGTGGTACCTTCCTTTGTTTATTTGCTATTAAACTGTTTGAGAAGAACTGATGTGTTCAGAGTTGTTGATTGCCGAGACGGGTGTGTGTGTTTCATGCTGGTGTACCTGATGATGGTTCAGTTGAACCCACACAAAAGATCCTGAAGGAAAAGACAGTTTTTCTCTAGAATACGACCTGCCTGACCTGTCTGCATGCTGCAAGGTAACATGGGAACACCTTGAAATGTTTTGGCATCATTAATTTTTGTTCTTCCTCTTCTTTGGTAATGGCTGCCGTACCACAGAACTGGTTCAGACCAGCTCTTGCTGGAGTTCCTCCTCCATAACTACTGATGGCCTATGTGAATCCTTTTCTCCAAGCCTTCAGTCTCCAGTCCCAAAAGTAGCTATACCAGGCTGGAGAGGTGACTCAGAGGTTAAGAGCACTGGCTGCTCTTTCAGAGCTGCTGAGTTCAATTCCCAGCAACCACATGATGGCTCACAGCCATCTACAATAAGACCTGATGCTCTCTTCTGGCCTGCAGGTTTACACGCAGAGCACTCATATTTTTTTTAAAAAAAGTAGTTATAGCTTTAAGATGTCTTTTTTGGTTTTTTGAGACAGGGTTTCTCTATGTAGGTCTGGCTATCCTGGAACTCACTCTGTAGACCAGGCTGGCCTTGAACTCACAGAGATCCGCCTGCCTCTGCCTCCTGAGTGCTGGGATTAAGGGCATGTGCCATCACCACCAGGTCAGGCCTTGGTTTTTATCCTGTCCTTCATTGCCAGTCTTCCTTACATGGCGAGCCCTGGCAACTCTTGAGTAGTCCAGTCCTCACGGAGCTGAAGCCACTTTAGAAGCTGCTACAGCTGCTACTTGGGCTGGGGGTGGGCCAGACCTCGGCCCTCTTCTCAGTGCCCCTTTATTTGGGGTCTGTGTGGTGCAGGGTGTAGTGTTTATTCAGTACTGTCTCATGTTAGTCTGTGACTGAACACATAGTTAGGGATGTTTGCCTGCTTTCTAGTGCCTAGTGGTACACTAGCATATTCTAGATTCAGAGAAAATGGACGGGAAAGAAGTGTCTCCTTAACACAAGCATTTCCTGGACACGATACCATTTGATGTTGTTCACATGTGAAATTTAAAAGATCCTGTCACCCTGTGTTGGCAGAACTTGGGAGGTAGAGGCAGGTGGATCTCTGTGAGCTCGAGGCCAGCCTGGTCTACAGAGTGAGTTCTAGGACAGCCAGGGATACAGAGAGAAACCCTGTCTCAAAAAAAACAAAGATCTTGTCAACCAAATCTTATCAACCAAATTTTGCCTTTGATTGTCTTCAAGTCTCAGTCTCTCGGTCTCTCTCTCTCTCTCTCTCTCTCTCTCTCTCTCTCTCTCTCTCTCTCTCTCCCTCAAGATGAAGTCTTGTCATGTAACCCCAGCCTTTAATCTCAGCACTCAGGTAACAGAGGTAGGCAGATCTCTGTGAGTTCTAGGCCAGCAGGGGCTACATGGTGATATCCTGCCTACAAACAAACAAACAACCTGAAAAACAAAACAAAAGGCCAAGATGGCTTAGTGAGTAAAGGAGCTTGCAGCCAAGCCTGATGATCTTGATTTCTGGGACCCACCTAGAAGGAGAGAAGAGACTCTTGAAAGTCCACTGACACACATGTGTGTCTCTCATGTGCACAGAAACATCCACACTCTCAAAAACAAAACAAGGGCCAGAGAGATGCCTCCACGTCTACAAACACTTGGTCGTACAGAGGACCCTGATGCCATTTCCAGCATCCACACAGGAGCTCACCACCCTCTGTGCCTAATTCCAGTTCCATGTGATCTGACTACCTCTTCTGACATCTGTGGGAACCAGGCATACATGTGGGGGGGGGGTGTGGGCATATGTACACACAAGCAGCCAAAAACACTCAATACCCATAAAAATAAATAAGCCAAGTGGTGTTAGCCCACACCTTTAATTCTAGCTCTCAGGAGGCAGAGGTAGGTGGATCTCTGTGAGTTCAAAGCCAGCCTAGTCTATGGAGCAAGTTGTAGGATAGCCAGGGCCACACTGAGAAACAATGTCTTGAAAAAACAAACAAACCCCACAAACCATTAAGGGCCAGTGTGATAGCTCACACCTTTAACCCCAGCATTATGAGTCTGAAATCAACCTGATCTACAAGTTCCATGCCAACCAGAGCTAAGCAGTGAGACCCAGTCTCAAAAATAAATAAATACACATTAGATAAAAACAAGAGCTGGGGACTGGAGAGATGGCTCAGTGGTTAAGAGCACTGACTGCTCTTCCAGAGGTCCTGAGTTCAATACCCAGCAACCACATGGTGGCTCACAACCATCTATAATGAGATCTGGTGCCCTCTTCTGGTGTGCAGACATACATGCAGGCAGAACACT